TGGAATGGAAGTTAAATTTGGGTTTTGAATTAGTACAAAAGTGAATACACTTTGTTATCATTTTTTTTTTTCCATTCTTTACTGACATTTCAATCTTTTTTTATACATTCTGTGGACATGCAACTTGTTTTAATGGTCAGAATATTATTTCAGCAAATTGAATGCAACTTTATGTTGGTTTTATGTTTCTATTAATTCCTATATACTGCATGTGACTTGCTTCAAGCATGAACAAAAGATGAAGTGGATGGCTGTTTTTTTTTCCAGGCCGTGGTTTGCTACTCCCAGCATCTAAACTCAGAATGCTCCAAAAACTGCGATGTGCCTCCCGGGAACCGTCGTCGCAGAGCCCTGCCATATAGTGTAACTGTGTATACTAGTTTACTCAGTCACGGCCCTATCTGGTTATATTAACGAACCTTGAGAAAATTAAAGGTATAGAATAAACGATTATACCTTCATATTTATAAACAAATCTCCTCATTTATTATTTCATAGAGGGATCACGGAGTGATACAAAAATGGAAAGCTGAGTAATTTCATTCTTTTCTTATCGTTTTTCACTCTTTTAAGATGGAAAAAAGCTTTTGTAAAATGTTTGATAAAAGAGTGTATAACAAGTTTTAGTAGTAGTTACTTTTCCGTTTCCCTTTTTTTTCCTGTTAATTTTATCATTTCTCTGCTTGTTTGACTGTGGAAACACTGTGCGCGCAAAGAACAGGGCCAAAGTGTCAAGCAATCAGAACAAAGAGAAATATTACAAGGACCCAATGAAAACTCAAATATTCGAAACCAGCCCCGAGCGAGTTAGAATAGTACGACCCTTTACTGTTTTGAATCTAATTAGTTAGAAAGGTAACTTTAATGCCGCTCACGAAATGGACAAAAGCATGACTCGTTAACCCTCAATTCCTTGATTTTTATGTCCGATTAAATAATGGATTTTATATCCTCCAACTTCACATTCTCCAGGGCAGGACTCCTTGATTGATGTATCCGTTACTTTTGGAGTGTTTGTCCTCCTGTGCCTTGTGGTGATTGCAATTGTACGTCATGAAAGGATCACTGTCATATTGTAGAAAACAGGAGAGAATCGTTATATTAAATTAAAAAAAAAATCTTTCGTCTCAGCAACTAACAGCAACTAATGATTACTCTGAGGCAAGGGGTTTCTGTATCGCGAAGTTGAAAAATAATTCCTAGCGGTCGAATTAAAGCGAAGTTCAATAGCAGTTAGAGTCATTTTCGGAAACTGTCAATTAGGAAACCTGAATGAAAACACTTTGGGAGCTAGAGAGATTTTAAATGTCCAGGCTGTAGTAACTGACTACCGTCACGCTAATGTAACATTATGGACACTTTTATTTTCTTGTCAGCCGATTTTATGTCTATTCCTTTTGCTATAACGGAAGGGGACATGAGGGGTTTTGAATAGCGTATCACCGCGGACAATATTGATCAAACACCGCATCACCGCAAGAAATATTATCGACACACCGACACTGCGAAATAGTTTAAGTGCCAGGATTTACCTGGTCTGCTTTCACTCATCTTTACTGCACGCTGATCTTTGGCTGGCCGACAGTGCGTGTGGTAGAGGTCCAGAGGTCGAGTAAGATGTGAGCCAACACGGCCTAGAGTCAAGCAGCTACCGTTATTAAAGATTGACTCGGATATATTGCTTATTTTGTTGCACAGCAGGTTATCAAAATCGAGTTTTTTAAAGGGTTCATGGACAAACTGCAGTACCGAAAATGGTTTATTTCTCCGAACATCGTCGGTTTACAAATAAAAACATCGTACACCAGAAGGTTTGAGATCACCACAGCACCAGAATGCAAGTTGTTCTTTACCGCAATACCGCATTAAAAGAAGGGTCAACACCTCAACACCGCAAACCCCAATGTCCCCCTGCTATCGGGAGGTATCACGTGGCCGTTACAAGTGGTACTGCTCATGTTCGCGTTCTTAGACGCGAGCTAAACAATAAAAAGTTTGCTTTGTAAGTTTGTGACTATTCTGTTTTGTTTTTAATTTTTCTTTAATTAAATGAAATCGTTAGGTTTTAAGTTGTTTTTGCTCTTTTACCTCGTGGTATGACGTTAGTCAGTTGTACAAGTAGTTTATTGATCCAGAACTGAGCTGGTTTATAAAAAAAGTTGCAAAAGTTGTCTTTGTTTTTTTCTGCAATTTGAGTGTTACTTTACACAAGCCTTGATTGGTTGTTGTGTTTTTGGTAAATCTTTCTCATTGGCTGTGAAAAAGATGCCATTTAGAGCAAAAAGTGTCGCCAAAATTGAATGAAACGCTCAGATGAGAACCAATCAGATTACAAGGATCACCATTGATTTCAAGTTGAAAGCAATAATTAAAAACTTTTAATATAAAACAGGAAGTAGCTTTAGGTGAATATCAACCAATTCGCGTAATGGCGAGGTAAATATTTACTGCCAGCCACCGGCACTGAGGTGAATAGTTGTTTTAATATACTGTTTAAACCGTGCGTCACTATTTTTGAGCGCAACATCCGCGCAAGTTGCTCTAGAGATGGGTATCAAAGGATAGACGGAATTTAATTTGCCAACCAGAGCACGCCTTCAAGGCGATCCACTGTTTTACTTTGTACTCAAAAAAAACATTATCCCCTGCCTCTCTCGCTAAGTTTGGGTCTTTCCCTAGAGTCGTATTGTCTTCTGTTCGTATATCTTGGGGCTGAGGAACAGGTTAAAACGTTATCCCTGAGTACATGGAGTGATGCACTTAATCCAAATGGCCGGACGCCATAATTTTGACGATAATGATAAAAAATAATGATAATAATAATAAGGATAATAATGATAAGAAGTAATGTTAATAGTAAGTAATAACAAGTAATGTTTTTATGTGCGCATTTGAGCTCTCAATGGGCTTACATTTATAAAATTAATCCGCAACACAAAACAGTTAAAACACTAAGTAACTAAAACCAAATAAAACCATTTTCATTGTTTAACGAAAATGCTTTCGAAATAAAAACGTTACTAGGACAGCTTTGAAGGACGAAACCAAAGAAGCACTGTTTAAGAGAATTGTGGAGAGTATTCCTTAATGTAAGTGCATGAAAGGAAAACACGCGTTTAGCGTATGTTACAGTGTTTGTGGTAGGAATAGTAAGAAGTGATTGAGAGGATGAACCTAAAGTTCGTAATGGATGGTATTCCTGTAGCAGAGTCGATAAATAGGTCAGAGAAAGCCTTTGAAGAGTCTTGAAAGTAATAAGAAGAACTTTGAACATTGCCTCAAGCGGTAACCAGTAAAGCTTTTGAACATAACATAACATAAACTTTATTTCATCTCGAATTTTAGAGTAGCTTGTTGGACCTAATATCTTCGAGAAAACATAAAATGGAGATTACCTATATGTATTCATACATATATCTGTACAAGATCTAAAATACTAACTATACTAAAATATACTAAAATACACGGTATTTAGAAATATAATTATGTAACATATCGGTAGAAATTAACTGAAAGGTGAAGATAAGCGGGAGCGACTATACAAAGATACGGCCTTGAATAATCTTTCTCAAGTCTTTAAATGCACTCATGCGGATATAGTTAAGGCAGTGTATTCCATAGCCTAGCTGAGAAGTATGACAATGAATTAAGGCCATAACTAGTTGTTCTAGGATTTCTAAGTGACAGTATGTAATTACCGCGAAGATTATAAGAAGAGGATCGAAGTGAATACATACTTCTCATATAAGCTGGAAAATGAGTGAAAAACATGCTCTTGTACAATAAATTAAGGAAATTCTGGATACGCCCATTACATAAGGAACTAGTGTTGACCTTAGTCAGAATCGTATGGCGACAAGTAATCCCTAAGTATAAATCTAAGTGTTCTTAGAAGGGCTGGTGTGATACGTTCATGTTGTTTAATTCTAGTAATAAGGCGTGCGGCAGTGTTCTGAGTTCTTAGTAGAGGATACTGTTACGATAGTATGGAAGGAACATTGTCAATGTGGTTCTTCTTTACTTTCCTCTCGCCATGCGAAGTTCAATCGACAGAAAGATGATTTGAAGTCTTTTTGGGACTGGTCACTGTTTATTTCTGGGAGCAGGGGAAGGGCTAAAATATTTTGGTTGTGTCGCGATAAAATTCATCTGAGCTCCTCCAAGGCTCTCTAATATTCTTATTGTAACACCCTGGTCTACCATTGTCCTGGATATCATTTTAAAAAGCTACCGTTTGTTCAAGGACTGTATCTTATTTCTCATTATTCCTCTTCTGATCGGCTGACTCGATGTAACAAAATGTTGTTTTCTATTCAATAATCGCTTTATTATCATTTAGCTATCATCAATAGTTTAAAAATCATTTAATGGTAAATAGCTAAGCTATTAGTTGATTGCCCCCTTAACCACTTCCACGCGGCATCCCTGAGATATATCAACATGAGCCAAGGTCTCTAACGCCCGATGCAAGGTTATGGAAG